GTGTGTGTGTGTGTGTGTGTGAGAGAGAGAGTGTGTGTGTGTGTGTGTGTGTGTTTTCCCTTACGGATAACCGAAACATGCTCTTGCTTGGTTTCAAGTTTGGCATGTGAATATAACTTGGGTTTTAAAGTATTTTTTTTTTTTTGGTATACAGAGAATAGTCTTTATGTATCTCAATTATTTCTATTAATAGAAATAATTATTTCTAGCTTTTAGGGATAAGAAAAAAATGCCACAAATTAAGTCATTTTGAGAAATTACTTTTTCTTTTTGGGTACCAGGGATTGAACTCAGGAGCACTCGACCTCTGAGCTACATCCCCAGCCCTATTTTGTATTTTATTTAGAGACAGGATCTTACTAAGTTGCCTAGTATCTCACGATTGCTGAGGCTGGCTTTGAACTCGTGATCCTCCTGCCTCAGCCTCCAGAGCCACTGGGATGATAGGCATGCACTACTGCACCCAGCCTATTTTGGGAAATGACTTTTAATCTTCAAACTTGAAAGAATTTTTAGGACTCCAAGTGGTTTTGGGCGAGCTTCTCTCCTTTGTCACAGCTGCTCTGTGTAGTGGAAAGAATGTTGCACTTGGGACTTCAAGGTCCTCAATTCCAGTCTCTTGCTTAGAAGCAGTTTAGCCTCTTGGAATCGGATTAGATTAAATTTAAAGTTCCTTCTGGCATGAAAATCTGTGATTTTCTTTAATTCTTATTCTAAAGACAAATCCGAATACAATATGAACAACTGTTAGCTGAAGCTATTTTTATTTTGAAATGTGAAATTTTTAATACCAGGAGCTTTGAGGGATTTTGGAAAGACATGTGAATTTGTAGGGGGTAATTTATACATGGCTTAATCTTATACCTCCAACCCCAGCCACAATGATTCAAATGCAAAAATCCAAATAGGGGCAGTGAGGGAACAGTGGATGTGAAAAAGTTCAAGAGGTGTGAGGACTGTGAATTTTTCATCAGTTCAAGGTAAACTCAGGCTGACTTACCAGAGTGTAGTGTCCAGAATCAGGGCTGAATCTTTTTACCATCCTGTGGTCTAGCCATACCCTTAAAAGTGGGCATTGAATACCTGGATCGAAGCTCCCGAAGACTAACTACGCTGGAGAAGGGAGGTCTGGAAATATTCAGGAATTTATCCTGGAGAGAGATCTGGAGGACAGAGCAGGTTGCTTAGGTGTTTTCAGATTCTTAGAAGGCTGTACTTTGGCAGTTAGGTTTTGGATTATTTGGGATTGTTCCTGAAGTCATAACTGGAGGTTTATGAAGGTGGATTTTCTTTTAGTTTATGGAAGTACTTTTCATTTTGAAAACTGTCTTCTGCCACCATGTGGTGGGTTCCTTGTTACTGGACACAGGAGCTCTCAGGAAAGGGAGTTGTGGGGCGATGTTGGTGGGGGAGAGGTATAGAGTGACTTTCATCTCTTTGAATCTATGATTGGTTGACTCCACATTTAGCACCATGAACTGAAACTTTTCAATGTAGGTTCGTTGATCAGTCAACAAACAACTACTACCTATCTGTTATCTACTAGCTAAAGTACAAGGGGCAGGGGCTACAGTAGTGAACAAGATAGACAAGGTCCTTTCCTAAGTGAATTTACATTCACTAGTGAGAGATTCCAGGGAAGAGCAAAGAATATTATAATTTGTTGTCAAACTCTGATCTGTTTCCAACAGTTTCTTTCCTTTGGAATTAAAACTGCCCAGACTGTGGGGAATTCTGCCTTTTCAGCCTTTTTCCCCTTGGATTTCTGCTGAGCTGCTTGTGTATACATTATAGACCCTGTCTTTGAGGCCTCAAAGATGATAGTGGGGTCTAAATATTATTGGTGTTTTTAAGTTTACTTTTAACTACAAAACAATCCTGCCAAGCTGGTAGTTTTGCTTTATGTATGTGAAGCTGAGGGATGTCAATGATTTACCTTTTCAAGGTGGGTCATTGACCCACTACAGATATATTTTTAAAAAATATTTCCTCAACTACTGAAGATCTACTTGGTTTTTGGAAGAGAGGCTTTATTCTGTTGTACAAATTTATTATAATTATTCAAGAATCCAGGATACTTGTCAGCTCTCCTGTGACTGGTTCTGTTGACTTCGAGCTTGTTTATGAAATTCATTTAATAATACTTGAGAATATCTGCTATGTACCTGGCCATATTCCAGGTACTGCTGATATAAAAATAAACAAGGCACTGTTCCAGTTCTCAAAGAGATCACATTTTAATTTTGGAGTCACACATGTAATGTTAATGCAATTGGATATGATGTGTGATTCAGATAAACATCCCTAATCTGAAAATCCAAAATCCTTCTAAATCTAAAACTTCTGAGCACCAACAGGATGCCACAAGTGGAAAACTTCACATCTGATCTCATGTGATGGGTCAAATATATTTAGATGCAGTAAATATAATGTGTGAAATTACCTTCAAACTATGCATGTAAAGTGTATATGAAACATAAATAAGTTTCGTGTTTAGTCTTGGGTCCCATCTCCCAAATATTTCATTATTATAATGCAAATATTCCAAAATGAGAAGATATCCAAAATCCAAAGCAATTCTGCTCCCAGCATTTTGGATCAGAGATAATTAATCTGTACATATGTGCATAGAAATTTATGTGGATAATATGTATACATATAATATGTAAACACAGGAGGTATCCTAAGAGTCCAGGGAGAGAGGTCGTCACCTACTTGGTGAGGGCTGGAATATTCATGGATAGAATTTAGAATTTGAGATTCTGACACATTTAACTCAACAGATTCTTATTTTTACCCCAGTAATATTTCTTATAATAATATGTGGAGCAGAAACCAAATTTCCTTTCTTATAGTAAATCAAGTGAAAAATAATGTAATCCAGTAAACCTTTGAGCTTTTGGAATCTTTTTGAAGAAAGGTTAAAGATCACAGTCATAGTGTTTCCCTATCAAGCGTTTGTGGGAAGAATTTGTCAAGGAAGAATTAACCAGTGGACTTGTAGGGAAAAGCCATTCAGCTAGAAGAGCATCAGAAGCTGTTATGTATGTTTCTGTGGACAGAGCAGTAGCCTTGTGATCCTTCTCCCACCATTATGTTTCAAATTGTACCTTTGAAATAATTATGTTGGTAATAAGCAGAATGCTTGCAACATGACAAATACCATACTAGTACGTATTCATCTCTTTCCCCATAATAGCTCTGCTGTGTTGTGATCAGGAGAGGTAAAATTGGGACTGGAACCCAGATTTATTTGATCTTAATTTTTGTTTCTCGTAAGCATCGCCGGATCCCAGCTTTTCCTATTTTCTTTACCTTCCTATACTAGAATAAGATCCTGGTTCCAGGCCAGCCAATAACAATTGTATCCTTGGAGGGAACTCCTGGACTAATGTTGGCTCTTGATTCATTTTAATAAAAATGAACTGAACTCACAGGTTGAGTTTAGGCGCTAAGAAACATGTTCCAAAATGGCTGCCTTGAGATCCTGAGTTCTCTGAATTATTAATATTGGTTTTCTCTTGACTCACTGTTAATGGTATTTTTTGGTTTAAGTCATCAGCTCCTTCTGCTCACGACTTAGAATTTGGTGATATTCAGCAGAATCATCATTAAAATGGCCATAAATTCAATTGTGCCCTTTGTTTTCCAGGCCTTGGAATACCTGCTGTGGGCCAGCATGTGTATGGAGTCCTCGGTCTCGCTCCTGTCTGTCAGGTACTTGACATGGAGAGCCACCCTTTACACTGCTGTTTGCCAGTGCTACTATGACTGCCAAGCGGGTGTCCATGGGGAGGTAGGTGACTTAAATTCTGGTGGTTCTGACATTTGAAATACAGCTTATTTGGCATTTTCTTCTTTGGGATGCCCTCAAGAAAACAAAACAAGACAAAAACAACCAAAGAATTGAAATGAAGCCAGGGCCTCAGTTCCAGCCTTTATTTGAAGCAGTCTGCGTGGCCGATCCATGCTGTTGATTTCCTGCTGTACTTTCTGCTCTTTCCTTTATGCTCAATTAACTTCCACCCTCTTCACTTGTCTTCTGAAAATAATTTCTAGTATCTTTCTTTCCTCCTTTTGTTCACACATGTAAGCCCTTTCCTGTTTAGCTTTGTATTCGGTACGACCTGTTTTACATTGCGTCTCCTCTGCTTCCAGCAGCTGTTATTACATTCTGTTTTTTTTCTTTGTACTTGAAATACAACTTACCTCAGCAGGGGCTTCCATTGGCTCCTGCAGTATCTCTGTGTACAGTATAAAGGGGGTATAACTCAGTGGTGGAGTGCATGCTTAGCACTCTTGAGGCTGTGAGTTCCATCCCCAGCACCATGGGGAGAGGGAGGTCAATTTTTCTATAGTATTTGGTATTGAGTTGGTCACTGGGTCAGATCTTGGTGAAAACTGGAAACAGGCACCCCTGCCTCTGGGCCAAGAGGGTACGGGGGAGCTCTCAATCCTTATTCAATAGCTTGGTCTGGGAGTCTTATGCAGGACACAGCCCTCAGAGCTGCACAAATACCTGCTTGTATTCTGTTCACAACCAAAAATAAATCATCTGGCTTAACTGAAGGTTTCTTTACATTAGTTTTTCCCACCTGGACTAATTCTGAAGTGTTGGAAGGCAGTGGCCTCAGGGCAGAAGAATAGACTAGTTCAACCCTCATGGGGAACTTTTATAGCCCAGGATACATTCTAGAAACTATTTACCATACGTGGATAGTTATCTTTAGTATACCAGGGGTGGCACATTTTGTTTTATAGCTGTTAACATTATCAGGGAATGAAACATTTGTGGAGTTTTGATCATTTGATAGCTGCTGGGATTCTTGCTAATTGGAGAATTTAACCCTCCATGCATGTAAATATGCAGTTGGTCTGGAAGCATCTTCATTAAAAATCATAAATTATGAATAAAATATTGCAAAGAAATGTTAAAATAATTGGCATGAATGCTTGTTATTGAACTCTAGCATCTCTTTTAAACTCTTGTTATTATCTCTAGAGAATTATAAATTGGTGACATGATTAGATAAGACTGCCTTCTTCCCACCTTCCCTTCCTCAGATATTTATTCAATACTCCCTGTATCCTGGGTATTGGGGTGCAAAATGAATGAGACCTTTAAGGACCTCACAATATAGTGGACAGTGTGAACGATTGAATAGATTATACAGTATGTTATAATAGGAAGGTTAGGATTTGAGAAGAGAACCTGAGAATGGTTTTGTGTGTGTGTGTGTGTGTGTGTGTGTGTGTGTGTGTGTGTGTAAGTAATGCCAAGGAAATGAAAATCTAAAGGTACTATCTTACCTTTATTTTAGCTTTCCTTACTTTTTTTGAACTTCATGATTCATAAATTTAGCCTGTGTGAAAGTTTATAAGTTTAGACCTGTAGAGTTTAGTGGTACTTAAAGAAAATGATAGACTGGATAGCTACTGTATTACCAGGAGTCAGCAGCAGCCTTCAGTTTAATTCACAGATTAAATCAAGTGTCTAGGATGACAAAACATATTATCTTCATACATTTTTAATCACTGTGTTCTAACTTATTATGAACTGAATTTATTTTCATTGCGCACAGGCATTTGCTCGGCGTGGATTAGCTAAAATTGATGAGTTAAGGCAACTGGAATTAATGAGTTCTTCACAATCACAGGATGAATCCAAAAGATATTTTAGAGAGGCTACGATAAAGGTATAAAAATTTCATGAAATAAAAGAAATTTACTGCATTTCACAGTTGATTAGGTACTTAATATTAGTCGTGAAGAAATGTGTCCCATGGTTACTTCATATATATTCTTCTGTTGGAGGCAGATGGCGGTGATGATCTTCAAAAGAGGAGTATTTGAATCTAGAAGAAAAGTCAAAACTATCTTTAGACCAAAGATAAGACTTAATCTAAAGGAAGCTCAGAGTGTAAGTCTAAAAATTCTTCTCTATTTAAGACTCTTTTTGCAGTGCATTTGTTTTATTATTCTGTATTTTCTAATAGTCATTTCAGTGATTAAATCCTGCCCTACATTCTCTGCACCAATAGGCAAATAGTGAGAAGAATGTTTTCCCACCTTAGATATGGCTTCATGTCTTCCTTTCTCTAAAAAGTTTTTCGTTCCTTAGCACAATCCTGGTTTTGCAATGTTAAGTTGAGAGGGTAAGGGAGAGCCTGGGAAAGGTGTGAATGAACAGGGTCTTGCAAATGAGCAGGCTTCTGACTTGGTCTGCATGGGCCCTTGCTTTGACTGCTTAGTGTTGGTTTCGTGTGCTTTGAAGACAGAAGGAAGAGGCATCCATTCTAATCTCTTTGGGGTTTTCCTTTGGGAGCGTTCAGGAACTAGGTTATACTGCAGCAGAAAATAGGCCTCGCACCTTAGGTGGCTTAAAACAGGTGATTTCCCACTGGAGCCTGATACTGGTAGAGTTTATCAGGGCTCTGAACTTCTGGCAGCTGCTCAGGGCCAGGCTGAGCAGCAGCACTTATTTAGAAAATTGTTGATCTGGAAGGGAGCTCTGGAAGATCCTGCCTGGGTCATGGTGCTCTGATTGGAAGTGACTTGAGCCTTTTCTTTCATGTCACAACTAGTCACACAGCCCCTACCAAAAACGTGTATCTTTGGCAAATAGCACTAGGGACTATCACAGGGGAGGGAGTGAGATAAAGTTATGCCTTGTGGGGGTCCCTGCCCCCCATTGCCTTTCTGAGCTCCATATGATTCAAGATCCAGTTTGGTGTCTCTTGGAAGTTGTCCCTTATTGTCCTATATGGCCACCAACTCTCTGTAGGAACTGAAAATGAAAGTGAGGGGGAAGAAGATGAGTAGTTTTCAAGAGAAGAGTTACTAAGTCTCAGAACCTGGAGGGGACTTGGGAAATCACCTAATTCAGCTCTTTTCTGCTACGGATAATTAAAATGAAGCTTGGGATATTTAAATTACTGGCTCAACTTCACACGCTAACTGCTGGCAGAACTACAACGAAAATCTGCGTCTCAGTCCAGTATTGTCTCACTGCTCCAAGAACTGGGCTATTTCTCCTCAGTTCTTATGACATTTAGAAAAAAATTCTTCTTGTTCTTTTAAAGAAATCATGATAATTAAGTACTGATACTTGATCATGGTACTGTTTGAATGCGATTTTAGTGTGTCTATGAATACCCAGCCTAGAAGTACATATCATATATTCCTTTAAAATCCTGTTCCATACTGATCAATGGCATGTAACTGGTGACAGTGATAACTTAACAAATCATAGATGCCTTGAATGAACTGCTGGTATTGTTAAATAATAATGCTGTTGTTTTTGTGAGAGGGTAGGGTGTAATTTTTTTTCCTTATCAGCATTTTTTTTCCTCTCTGCAAACCAAAATTCAATATTGTCATCAAGATTGTCATGACTTAGCACATTAGGATTTGTAGTCATCCTGATAGCAAAATAAATATACTTTCAAAGAAAAATGTATAAAATTCCATTTAAATTACATTAAAGGCTCATTTATTCCTGGTTTCCTTCAAGATGATTGTGGTATGAGAAATTCTGGTGCTATGTTTTCTTTAGAAAACAATTATAATTGTTTAGTGGGTAGTTTTGACAGATTAGCTAACAGAGATTAGCCCTTTTAAAAATAATGTCACATTACCTTGACATGTATTGCAGAATGTCCTACTTTTATAAGTATGAAATTATTTTATTATGTTTCCACAAAATAAAGACATTTCAATATATCTTACATCTATTTTTGAGAACACTTCTATTTGTAATTAATTTCTTTTCTCACAATAAATTATTTGACTTTCAATTTTTTTGAAAAACTACTAATTCAGACTCCTAAAGATGAAATATTTAGTGATTCATTCAATAAAAAAATTTAAAAATGTCTGCTATGTGAGCAAGATAGGTGAGATTACATTTAGTGGAGAAACTATATAATAAATAAACAAAATTATATCTTGTGAAAAGTTTTAAGAAGAAAATAATGGTGGTGGGGATTAAATGACTTATACATAAAGTTTTTTCTGCACACAGTAGGTCTTCAGTAAATATTAACTATTATGCTTGTTTATTTATTATTCATTCATGCATTCAACCATCATGTATTGGATACCTGTGTTTTTAAGTATAGTGCAATGCTGAAAAGACTAAGTCACTGTCTTGGCTTTTTGAATGGTCTTGGAAAAGGAGAAGAGAACATTCTGAGTAAAGAAGCAGGGCATGTTCATAGTTTTGAGGCCAAAGTAAGCAGAGTTGGTTGGGAACAAGAAGTGGATTTCAACTGGAGGAGGCGTAGTATGTTGGAGAGTTAGCATAATATATCTCATGGAGTAGATTCATGGAGACCACAGCATATAGAGGTGGAATGGACTATGTGGGTTGTGTTAGACTCTCATCCGTTCTAACATTTTGAAAGGTTGTATAATATATCCTAAGCAGTAGATTGTAAACCAAATTGTCTATTTTTACTGCTATTATTTTAGTTATTTCCAATTTTTATTATTATAAATATTGATGTAACTCACATCTTCAGGAATGCTATTTTTTCTTTTATTTCCTATGGATAAAATTAAAAATGTAGAATTTCTGAATCAAGGCATACAAATATTTTTATTTCTCTTGGCATATAGTGCCAAAGTGTTTCCAATATGGGTACTCATTTTCAAGGTGGTAACCTGCATGTACCAATTTTATCGCAAGGTATTATTATTTTGATATTACTTGTTGGAACTTTTTTTTATTAAATCAGTTAGCAAATTTAAATGTGTTTTGATAATTCAGTTATACAATTGAATGGCTTGTCATTTTAACCTTATTTCTTTGATCCTTTCTCTTATAAATGTGTTTACTCTTTTTATCTTCTTTTTTAATGATTTCTTTCAATCTATTGATCTACTAGATATTTTACTCTAAGATATATTTGAATGGACTCATTAACTTATTATTTTTATAGAAATTCATATTTCATTTGTCATACTTGAAAATCTATTATTTTTATTGCTTCAGCTTTATATTTTATATTTACATTTATATTTACATTTTTAGAGATATTATAAATATTTATATTTTAAAATATTTTACTTCGTATTTGTCTATAGTTCTGATAAATGTTCTATTCCTATTTTTGCTTGTTTTCTATTATATTTTTGTGAACGAATTCATTCTGTTCACCAACTGGTGAAAAACTATGGTTTCATTTGAATACTTCTAATTATTAGAAAGTTCATTGTGCTTTTTGAATATATATACTTGAAAGCTCTGCTTTAATCTACAATACAAATCTTAGAAGAAGCCCTTTCCTTTGTTTATAAGGAAAGAAAGGGAGGTCAAGTTTTATTGAGTTTTTAGAGAAGCTGAAGCTAAGAAGCTGATGTTTGGGGGGAAATAGTCCAAAGCCTCAAGAAGAGGAAAAAACAAAAACAAAATAAATAAACAACAAACACCCCCCCAAGAGAATTATGAAAAATATGGTTTTTAGAATATGGATTCTAGAAATGCCAACTAGAGCTACTGGTCTTAACTTCTAGGTAACCTAAATGCAGAGAACAGGCCATTTGTCAGATAAAATAAAGTGTGGAGGTGGGCTATCTGCAGGCAGTGAAGCCATCCAAGGCAGTACAGAGCAGAGTGGCTGGGAACTCAGGCCTAGTCACTAGCTTATGAGAACACAGCTGATCAGCTCTTCCCTTAAGTTAACTACCACAAGTCTAGTAGTGTGAATCATTGTTTCAAATTTGAGTTTGAGACATTCTACATTAGAATTTCCTGCAGTGCTTAACAGTGCCCTACCCAGATCTATGGCATGTCTGGAGATTTGGTCTTGAATCTAAGAAAAGCACCCAAGTGATAGTTAGGCCACCGAAATTTGCGTATTGGTCCCTTAAGGCTGTAATTAAGGTACCACAAAGTGTATGGAGATGAGGCTGCCTTAATAAAAAGACCAAAATAAACAACCTTGGAAACACAAACATAGAAACAAATGGCAAAGTCCTGATGTAATAGCAGCATGACATAAACTTAAATGGAGTTGAGTGACATCTCAAAAAATGAAAACCCTAGAAGCAGCCATTGCACTGTTAAACTAACCTCTTTCTTTCAGCGTTACATAAATGAACATTATTTTGTTTGCCTTGTACAATGGACTGTATATATTTTTTAATTCCAGTTGCCGTGGCCACGTACCATCACAGACCGGCTGTTAGATGAAATGTTTGATAACTCCGCATCCCGCTTTCTGGCTGTCTTGGAGGCTCTTTCTGATCCAAACAGGCGAATACTACAAACTGGTCCTGTTGTATCTGATGAAGTGGAACTTCGTGATGTTGTCTCAGAACTGTTTATAGCTGGGAAAGAACTTTTAATAAGTAAACAAGATATTAAGATACTATTTTATGGTAGCCGTGATTAACAAAAAATTTAACATGATAATTATGAGAAACTGATAAAGAATTTATGCATTTTATATATTGACCTTGAATTCAGCAACCTTGCTTTAATCAATTGATAATTCGAATAATAAAATTATATTCTTTTTTTCAATTTTTAATCTTTTAACTTCTTTTTTCTTTCATGTCTTGACTCCTGCACTGGTTAGGATCTTCAGTGAACACATGGGAAAGATGTGGTGTCTTCAGTCATCCTTGTCTCACTTTTGATCTTAGGTGGAACATTTCCAGCATTTGACCATTAGTTAAAATATTTGCTTGGGACTTGAGGTGTAGCTTAGTGGTAGAGCACATGCCTAGCATGCGTAAAGCCCTGGGTTTAATCCCCAGCACTGAAAAAAAAAGATGTAAAGATATTTGCTAAAGAATTTTTATAGAGAGCCTTTTCAGATCAAAGAAGTTTCTTTTATTTGTGGTTTTCCAAGTGTCTTTTTTTTTGTTTGATTCTTATCCTGAAGTTGTTGAATTTTATCAAAAGTCTTTTCTGTATTTATCAAGATTCACTGTGTTGACCAAAGGGCTTTCTCTTTTATTTTTATTAATATGGTGAATTGCATTGAATGTCTAATTTTTAGCTACCTTGTATTTTTGGAATAGATCTAATTTCTAAGTGAGGATTTGACTTTTTTATATATTGCTTGCTTTGTTTGCTAGTGTTTACTTCATTTTTGCTTCTTTGTTCAAGAGAGAGATTTTCATTTCTTACGATGTTATTTTTAGGTTTGACCCTCAAGAACATGTTGGTCTCATAAAGTGAGTTGAGAACTGTGCTCTCTCTTCCTTTATTATGTGCAAGAGTTTGTGCTGGATTGATGTTATTTCTTCTCAAATGTTGGTTGAATTTACTCGTAAAATCATCTGGACTTGGAATTTCCTTTGTGGAAGTTTTTAACTATGGATTCAATTTCTTTTATAAATATGAAATTATTCCGCTTTCATTTTCATTCTTTTTCTAAATCTTTCACCAGTTTGATAAATGGTATCTTATACCATTTATCGCTTGAAAATTTTATATTTTAACCAGTATCTTACAATTTTTGTCAGAGTCATAATACCTCATTATGATCCTGATTTCTGTAGCTCTGCAGTGGTGTCCTCTTTTTCATTCCTGACCTTGGTCTGTTTGCTTTCTCCCTTATTTCATCAATTTTACCAGGTGTTTACAAATTTCATTAGTGTGTATATGGTATGCATTTGTGTGTGTCATGTGTGTTGGTGTAGTCTGTGGTGTGTATATATGGGGTGTTGATGTGTGGTGTGTGTGGCATGTGTATGTAGTGTGTTTTCATGTGAAGTATGTGTGGTGAGTGTGTTTGTTGTGCATATGAGTGTATGTGTATTGAGAGTAGGTGTTTGTGGTGTGTGCCATTTGTGTGTGTGATGTGTGTGTGGTGTGTTAGGTATGTTGGTGTGTGTAGTATGTATGTGTGTATTGTGTGTGGTATGGATGTCTGTGGCATGTGCATGTGGTGAACATGTGTGTAGTATGGTATGGGGCATGTGTGTGGTTTGTGATGTGTATTGTATGTGGTGTGTGTGATATGTACATATAGTGTGTGTTGAATTATGTGGTATATACATATGGTGTATATTGTGTGCAATATGTGTGTTCATGGTGTTGGCATGCCTGTGGCATGCATGTGGTGTGTGTGTATCTGGTGTGGTGTGTGTAATGTAGGTGTGTTGGTGTGTTGGTATGGTTTATATGTGGTGTGTAGTATGAATATGTGTATGTGGCATGGTGTGTATGTGTGTGTTGGTGTGGGGTGTGCAGATATGTGTGTGGTATGTGTGCAGAATGTGTTGTGTTGGTGTGTGTAGTGTATTTGGCATGCATGTGTGTGGAATGTGTCACGCATATGTGTGTTGTGTGTGCTGTGTGTGATGTGGCATGTGTGTAATGCATGGTTTGTGTATGTGTTTTGTGTGATATGGCATAATTCTGAGTGTGGTTGTATGTGAGCGGTGTGTATGTATTCTGTCATTTGTATGTGGCGTGTGTACATTGTGCATTGTGTGTGTGTGGTGTGGCATGAGTGTATATATATAATTGCATGTGTGGTGTTGGTGGAGATTGTGTTTATGTGTGGTGCATCTGTGGTATGACATGTGCCTCTGTGTGGTTGTATGTGTGTGTGGGGTGTGTGTGTGTGTGTGTGTGTGTGTGTGTGTGTGGTATGCTTGTGCACTCATCTGAAGACAGAGAGCCTCTGGTGCCAGTTTAGGGCTTATCTCTTAAAGAAAATCAAGTTCTTGGTGAGAATTTCCTTGACTCCCTTCACTTAAACCCTAATGATTGCCCCCTCTGCATCTTCCTTTCCAAGGAAGGGCGGTTCCTTCTCCTCTTCCTCTCTGTCTGACAGTTATTTCCTTCCAGGCAATCACTTTACATCACTTCCTCCTTCAAGCTTCCTTACTATAAGTTTTCTCCTTGGTACAGTTAGATTTATTAAAGGAATTGGCTATTTTCACTGTTCTAAATTCTTTTCTTGAAATTTATGTATCAGAAAACTTCTGTCCCTCACACTCTACAGAGAATGTCCTGGACAACCTCATTGCTTATTCGAGGGTCGCTTTTCCTCTTCACTCTTGGTAGTTTTGTTACAGTGCTCTTTTCCCACTAACCACTTCTCTTTGTGCCATTTCTCCCTCTGCTCTTAAATTTTGACGTTTCTTCTGCAGCTATTCAGTGCCTACAGTGGATCCTGCCATTTATGATGAATGTGTAATTGTGACTCTACAAGTAATATGTTCCAATTAAAGATCTCTTTCTCGAGTTTCCAGTCCGCACTTAGCTGCCCACTTGGCGAGTCCACTGTTGTTAATTCTGTTTGCCTCTCCATGCATCTTCTGGGTAGATTTCCTTGGCCGAGCCTGTGTTGGTTGCTCTTCCTGTTTGTCCCTGCAGCAGCCTGTTTTTGCCCACTTAGATTTCTTGTTTGCACCTCTTGAGTGTAACTCAGTGAAGGTGGGGATTATGTCCTTTCCTTTACATTGTTTCCTAGCACTTGGCAGTGTCTGATAGCTAATGTTTAGCCAACATTTCTTTGCGAGGATGCTTTTTCAAACCTCTCTTTTTCCTTTTCTAGTTTCAAGTATTGGTCCGAGTGGAACGATTGGTTTTCCCAACACACCTCTTACGGAAAGAACAAATGTTATTTCTCTGGATGCTGCTGTAAAGTTTATAAAATTAGCATTTACTTATGAAGAATGGGGTTTATTTGAATCTTTAGCTATGCAGCTTATTTATTTTCTCCAGGTAATATATGCAAAACCATTCATTTGTTTTTGTTTTGTTAAAATGACATTGGATTATTGTTTAACTTGTGGGATGTACTTCTCTAAGAGGCAGGATGATCCACAGTCAAAGCAAGCAGAGAAGGATTTAACTCTTCTGATTGCAATCGAACCACTAATCAACCTAAAGAAAAACAAAGGTTTGATACTTCCTTTGGACAGTTATAAAGAAGGAGAGTCAGCTCAAATTTATTTAAAGCATCTAGTTTCACATGGTGAGTCATTATTTACTTTTTTGAAAAATTTAGTTTTATTGGATAAAGGATGCTCTTTCTAGGTGAATTGAGAGAAAGAATGTTCAAGGTAGAGGGAACAGGAGGTCCAAAGCCCCTGAGGGAAGGGTGTACTTATGATGGAAGGAATGCCAGTGGGCGTATGTGTTTGGAGGGCACTGGTGGAAGTGGTGGAGTTTGGGAGTAGATAGGTGGCGAGGTCAGAGAAATAGGTGGGTACCTGGTGATGCCATTCTGGTGACAGTTTTGACAAGGTGAACGAGGTTCTTCTTAGCTGCTGACTTGCTGCAGTGAGAGGCCAGCAGGGCTTTGCATCAAAGGGCAAAAGAACTGGTTCACTTTAGTAAGGGCAAGTCTGGTCTCCGCTCTCTCCAGCTTGTAGCACTTTTCATTGTAGAACTTAAATAACTTAAAAGTTATTGTTAATGTAATTGAAATCCTGATCTAATTTTTAGACCAATGAGAATTATTTAATTTTATTGTTCGTATTTTCCCTTGCTCTTAAGGCATTGCATGGCTGCTCAGTTGCAGTAAATCATTTGGATCAAGTCATGAGGCACTTTTTCTTCTAGTGGTTTCTGAATAGATATTCTTATCATTTTTCTTTCAGCTGCCCATTTTACATGTACTTTAATATTGTAAGCCTCTTCAATTTCTCTTTGGGCTTACATATAGTGTAACATAGAATTGACTTACATATAGTGGTTTAATACTAGTAATAGTTATTTGAATTGGGTTAGATCTGCCTCGATTCATTTTGATATAGAAGCATTTAAATTATTGACATGGTGTTTGCTCAGATATAATTTGGGTCATTTTTTTTTAAGGATTTCTGTGTTTCTCTGTCTTTGGCATTTGAAGTTTTATGATTGACTTTTTGTTTTCTTTGACTTTTTGAATGCAGATTCTTATGTGAGGAATTATGGATATTCAGAAGATATTTTTCATTTGGCAGCTGTCCTGTATGTCTGTGTCTGTAACTCTCCCCAGGTGAATTATCTTTTTTGAATAACTTAATAATGTGGAACAAGATTATGCCTAACTTAAGACCAGGTTTAAAATATCACAGGATTTGTACCTGTGATACAAAAGTTATGTATTTTGTACCTAACTAATTCTTGAGTTAGATCATGGTTTGTAATTTTAAGTTTCTTTTTATTATTGAAAATGAAGATTTTGGGTGTTACTCTGTTTCTTGTTGGGAAATCCCAAGGCCAGCTGTGTTTCTAATGATGAAAGAAATGGGGCAGTGGTTAAATTAAAGGGAGAGCTAATATGCTTGGTGAGAAGGGGCTCTTTAGCCCCTGATGAAAGCCTGGTTATTGCTAGGAGTTGTTTTCGCATGATGGTCTGCATTTAGAAATGGTCTATACATGGCTATGAATGCTCATGTACAACTAGTACAACTAGTTTTCCATCTGAATTCCAGGGGTCCCCAGGGCTTCTCTGAAGTTCCTCAGAAGCCAAAATTTGAGCAGCAGCACCCTAACCTGTTTTTACTAATTCTGTATATAATATTGAGATTCTGATGGAATTTTGTTTGAAAGTTTGGTTTGATATACAATTACATTTGAGACCCACCATTACCGAGCATTATACTAAGCTTTTGCCCAGGGAAGTGAAACTGAGTAAGGGATATAAGAAGTTCTGCTGTTAAAGTATTTCCCATTTCTTCTGGGTTTATTAGAATGTGTTATAACATGTGACAAGTACTTAATTTTTGAAAGGAAAGCATTTGGCTGAAAATTACATTTTCAGCCAAATGTATAGTGGGAGAACTTAACAGAAAATAACAATCAAGGTTTGAAAGGGTAAGGGACTTTCATCTGTCCATTTTAAAATAATTATGTCTTAGTTCAGCTCAATTAAATTCAGTAAACATTTATTGATGTTCTAACTTTTATGTTCCCAAGCATTGTACTGCAGTGTGATATATATCAAATTAAATCCTAAAGCTGCCTCAAAAGAGCTCAGAGTTTGGTAGTTTTAAATCATGAACTTCATATACTGAGCAACTTTGATTTTCTTTTGAAAAGAATTTAGTAACTTTGATTTGCCAAGAAGCATACTAGTTCTAGATTGCTCTTGAACTTCATACCTGGTATGAAGTTCTCCCATACCTTGTCTACTATATCCTTTACCCAACACCTTTCCCTCTCAAATTACTATCCCCTCCCCCATCCTTTATTATCTGAATACAAGATTCTGAAAAAGAGAAAAGTTTCAAAATTGGATGGAACTTATTGATTTTCATACTTGCCTAAAGTGTTTGGGACTTTTTAGAGAGACAGAATAAGCCTTGGTTAAGAGTAAGGATCCTTTGGTCTGCTTATTATTTCTGGCAATTTCATCTCCTGTGTTTCAGTTTGCTCATTTGTGAGGTAGATGGTAATGGCACTCAGCTTATTGGGTTGGTATGAGGTTAAATGAGTCAGTATTTAGATAAAGCTTGAGGAGTGTCACCTGGCACACTGTAATTTTTTATACATACAGCTTATCATCCTTGTTCATTTACTTCATAACTTTTGTTTTCAGGATGTTCAGCCTGATAAAGAAATAGTTGTGGACATGATAATGTTCCTATGGCAGAAATGCAAATTAGGAATTCAGAAGATCATTATGTCCAGAAACGAGTATAAAAAATTCACCCAGAAAATCCACAGTAATAAGGTATTTCTTTTTTGTTTCCCTTCAGATTTTTTTTTGTTATTGTTAATTCAAGTTTTAATATATATTTCAAATCTAGAATTTCCCTATTTATGCCCCTAATAACTATAATCATTTGCAGATGGATGGTGTTGGAAAGATATTCTTTGTAGTGATGAATGAGCCTTTCCTTTAATGTGTTTTCCTGAACCTCTGCCCTGGTATTGTTTTGGGGAGTGGGCTAGTATTTCAGTTTTAAAGGGAGGAATAAATATAGTATGTCTAAGGTCACAGGAGATTGGACAAATTATTAAGAAGATGAATAATAGAAAATACAAATAAGTAAGTAGTTTCATGTTTTCTTCCTGCAATCATATTTTTGGACTGTTTAATAGAGCTGTTTATTTTGTGGTAAGAACAGGGTTGAATATTTGAATATTATAAAATGGAAATTTAAGAGAAGGTATTCTGGTAATAAATATTTTAGCTCTAGTGATTCTGAGTCTCCTAAGATTAGCTACATGAAGATACGTAGGTGTGTTTTTTCTTTTTTTAAATTATGTGCTCTTTCAAGTAATGATGTGGGTGCATAAATGTTGCTTTATCATTTTAGGTTCCAAAGTGTGATGGTTGGTTTTATATGCTCAGCTGGGGATATAGGTGTGAAAGTTGATATCTAAGGCATCAAGAGTGGAACCTGCAACACCTGCTTATCTAACCCCACTAATTTGAAGGCCTTTGATCTTGATCAAATTTTGCTTTAAAGGGAGAATAAGAATTTTGAGGATATAGATAACATTTTGTGATGTATAAACATAACAGATCATAAATTTGCCATTAGAGCTCTATGTGTGTGAATCTTCTTTATCAATTTATATGGGTTTATTATTAGATATTATGTTTTAGTATCACTATATTATTTATAATTAGGAAGTATTAATAAGGAGTCCTGTATAATGTTTCTTCATACTTAGAACTTGGTGATTTCAAAGAAGTACTAATTTTTGAAAAATGTCTAATTCTACAATGTAATCTATTTTAATAAGTTTTGCTCTGTATTTTCTCTTTTTAGTGGTTTTATCTTCTGTGGCAGATAAATGAAGTGATTCACAACTATAAATTGGAAGACATTGACATTGCAGTGGTGGCAGAGGTCACATTACGATTAAGTGAAATATTAGAGTTTTTAGGAAGCCCAAGAAGAAAATTTAAAAAATATCCAGGTAAAATACTGAATGAAAGATGGGATCATTAACTTACACACATTTAAACATAAAGAGACAAGCATAAATCAGAGCACAGGATAATTTGGGTTAGGGGAAACTAGGCATGTCAGTATTGTGCTTCATTGATGTTTATCATCTGAGATAGGGAATGATGTAGATTAAATCAAGTGCATAAAAAGAAAAGGTTATGCTCCCTGGTTCAGTGGCAGACACATCCCTTTGTGCTTTCTCCTCACGCATTTCTTTCCCTTCTCCATCCCTAATCATCACCTCCTCTTCTTCCTCCTATCTTAATCTTTATTTTCTTTCTCTCTTCCCTTTCATCCCCTTTCCTGTGTTCTCCTCTCCCACTTCTCCAGGGAGCAAATGCTTCTTGAAGGGGGAGAGCATCGATAGGTTGTGGTTATGTTCTTGGCCCCCACCACCTTCCCTGAAGCGGGGAGTTCATGAGATCAGTGCAATGAATCATGTCCTTCTCTATTTTATCTCCTTTTCTGTTCTCTCCTGTCCTAATTCTCTGTTGCCTCAGCCCCTGAAGGCTGACAAATCACCCCTCAGCTTCTCACCTTCCTTCTTCAGAACTGCCAGAAGCCTCAGCGGGAAAGGCCGCTCTCCTGCCATTCTACCCTGGCTCCCTGCGAGGATCTGGGCCGTCATCCCTTTCCAGGATCCTTGCCTGAGTTTGTCTTCTTAGTTTTCAGATAAAAAAAATATTTTCTAGTTTTTATTTCCAGCAAGGAGACGTTTTCTAGATTCTCTATTATTAGAAGTAAACAAAACAATACAATTAACTAAGAAATGGGTTTTTTAAAATGAATGAATGAATGAATAAATGAAAGATGAGATTATTAACTGATACACATTTAAATATAAATAGACAAGCATAAATCAGAGCACAGGATAACTTGTGTTAGGGGAAACTAGGCATGTCAGCATTGTGCTTCATTGATGTTTATAATCTGAGATAAAACTGAAATACTAAAAAATACTTAAAAAACCCATTTCTTACTTAATTGTATTGTTTTGTTTACTAGTTACTTTTAGAAGACTATTATTTTATTCTGTTAATTTTAAATGGGCAAAATGTAATCTCAGGTATTAATTCTTTGTTACAATGTTTCACCTCTAAAGAACTAGTAGATTTTGGAGCATGAGATCCTTTTTATAAATTTGGGAACTCATATGTTGATGTAATGTGGGCTAGATATATAAATTCTTATAAGTTTTCTAAGAATGTTATTCTCATCATCTTATTGGCACATTGAACTTAAAGTACAAGCCATTCTTCTGTATTTCTTATGATAGTCTGCTTTAAGACATCTATTAGGTTTTTAAGTAATACATTGTTTAGTTTGAATTATTAAATACATTTTAAAATTGTAAAATCAACATTGTCATATAAATATTTATGATTCATATCCCTCTAATTCAAACTAGTCTTCTCTGATATGTGTATAAATTTATATGGCTTCTATACTATTCTGTTCTGAGTATTTTAAAGTAGACTTTATAGTAGGTTTAAGAAGACCAATGTCTACCATGATATTGTTTTGTTGATAAACAAGATTCTTATTTGGTTTATTGTATTACAATGAGATTTTTTTTTCTTTTTGAGATGAGAACTCACTGGGTTGCCCAGGCTGGCCTTGAATTCATGGATTTAAGTCATCCCTGCCTTAAACGCCCCCCCTGCCCCAAGTGCTGGGATTACAGGGGCACCATTGCTCCTGGCTCTGCCAGACACTTTTAGCTGGCTTCATATACAGAAAAAAATGTAATCACACAAGAGGAGCAATTTAATATTCTGTCATATTCTAAAGTATTGAATCATTTCTAAGATCATTATAATTAAAAAGATAAGCAATTAATAGAATTTATTATGATTACAATTTCTTGCTGTATGTCCCCTTTTCTCTTCTCTGATCCTTCCTTCTTCCCATTTGTTTCTTCTTCTTCTCCTCTCTTACTCTCTCCTCTCTCTTTTCCTTGTTTTTATTCTTTCTTTTCTTTGTTTCCCAGATGTACCTTTAAAAACAGAGATTAAGATATTCCCTGGGACTCCAAAAAGAATCATGGAAGTTCTTCCAATATTAAAGGTATTACAACACATTGTAGAGAATATAGTTAAATAAAACTAAATCACAGTAGTTTGTTGTACAAGTAATTTTAAATGTTTAAAACTTGAGAATTTATGGTTTCTGTATGCATTACAGGAACATTTTTCTACCTTTTGCTTTTACTCTAGAAAAAATCCAATCATTTAAAAACATAAGCTAGTTAAACATCTTAAAAAGATTTATAGTTGAATGTGTTATGATTCATAGATTTATAGAGAGGGGATGGTCTACTCAGCAAATGCCTTTGACAGGTAGAATGAGTTATTACCTGGTCACAGTGCACTTAGAATAGCTGTGGCCCTTGGGAAGTTCTCAGTGAGCAATTACTTAAGAGGAGATAGGAGTGGGGGATGAGTAGCTATTCCTCTTCTTTATTATTCTTTTCTTACAGTATTTGAATTACTTCTGTACATCATGCATTGTGTTGTCCTATAGATCTGAATGGGGTTCTGGGGACTGATATATGTCTACATCTATATTCACTTATTTTTTACTTGTTCTAATTATTTATACATGACAGTAAGTGCATTTGGACACAACATACATAAATGGAGTATAACTTCTCATTCTTCAGGTTGTAGACGATGTAGGATTACAGAGGTCATGTGATCATACATGCACATAGGGTAATAATATCTGATTCATTCTTCTATCATTCTTATTCCCATACCCACTACCTACATTCATTATATTCCCTTATTTATTGGCAAAATCTGGAACATTAGCAAACTCTGTCCTGTGTGATGCTGGTGTTGTGTATCAGAAAATGATACCATGATCATGGACCTTGAGTGGCTTTGGATTGAACACAGTAGAATTCTTTGCTGGGAAATTTCTCAGAGGAATTGATTTGTTTATGAGCAATGTGTTTTTCCAAAGAAATATAAAGTACCATGTATTTCATTATTTGAGCATAAAACCCCTTTTCTCATTGTGGAAATATCTATTTATATCAGATTATAAATTTCAGGCATTTTACCACTTTTATTACCTATGTGTGCGTTCTGAGTCAGTATGGAGTATTGTTTGCTTGTTTTAAAACTTGTGTAATTAATGTCATACCATGTGTATTCCTGTTCAGCTTGCTTTTTACTCAGCATTGTATTTTTTGAGATCCACCCAAGTAGATTCATGTGCTTGAGGTGTTCATTTCACCACATCCAACTTGTTCAGTCACATGGTAAGGGTTGGAGATTTGACTTAGATGTTTTGCCCCCATAGTCCTGGCATTTAACCGCTGTGCTGCATTGCCTCTTGATTAAAAAGAAGTCTTCAGGATATTTATTTTTCTAATGCATAGAAATACATAATTTTAAGTGTCTTTAATAATATACTATCTGCTCCTGTCACCTTTATTTGTAGCAGCCCTTTGAAATATAAGAACAAGTGATCATTTAAAAAGTGTTGTTTCAGCTACATTTCTGCCGTACTTGTTATAGTACATAAAGTCCTAAGGGATTAGGTGCTAATCCAGTTATCATTATGAATGTATAGGAAGAAAAGGGGAGGGGCTCATTCTGAATTTACTTTCTCAAACGAATGTGCATCTTCTAAGTTTCAGTTCTTTATTCTATATTGCTCTTGGATTTGAGAAATCTCAAATTGGAAAGAGACTGTCCTGCATAATAGGTGGAGGAGACCTCATAGCTGTTTGACAGGGTTTTTTAGGGATCACTTCTTGTGCTCACCAAACATACAGCTTCCTGCTTCTCACTCCAGACACATTCAACCAGAATTATGGATGTGGAGTTCTTAAAGTTCCTTATGTAGATTCTTAAGGACGCTAGAGTTTGAGAATCAGTGACTTTGTGGAATGGCCTTTATTCTCTGAGGCTGACTCTCATTCTCTCTATTTCTTGGGGAAGGAATAGGAATCCTAGTGGAAGTCATAAGTGCTAGATTTTGGCTTGAGATAGAAATGTTCTGGCAGTTAAAGCCTCTAAATGAAGTGGGTTTCTTAGAACAAAGAAACAGACCATTAATGAACTATTGCTATTATTATTTAAATTAGAATCAAGTCTCAAGATTATTCATTGCTATCTGCTAAGAAATTGTCTAAATTAAAGTATAAGTCTGTGATAACAGCAGTTTGAATGGTAGGTCCTAAACTTGTGCAGTGACAGCCTGCTTAGCTATACTGGAGTATGGTAGAAGTGGTAGAAGTGATTCATTGGTGTGACCTAAGAGTCCAGTGTTTGGTGTTAGACCTGGAGGTGAATCTTGACTGTGATATTGACTACATGACTTTGTATAATGATTTAATCTGTTCATATGTCCTCATTTGTAAAATTATTAATAGTCCCTATTACTATTGGGTTGTTATCTTGTTTAAACGAGATATTGGTAACATTGTGGAAACCAGTATCTGGTATATGGTAGCTGATCATGGTTTCTTTTATGTCTCATGTGGTACACCAAATCTCAATGTGGGATTCTCAGACCCACCTTGGGGAACCAAGTGGGGAAACAAGACCAAGTATTTATCATAAGGAGAATCCAAAATCCATATGCTTACCTAGCAGAGTCTGTAGGGGAATAAGTTCTATATCTTGCATAAGTATAAGTTACAGTGTGAAAAAAATAGATTGGGTACTGTCCCAACAGTACCCAATTATATAACATGAAACTATTTTATAGTTTTATTGAATGCATAGCATCTGTTTCTTCAACAAATGGATTTTAAGATTATGATAACTAGAGTGTATATTTTATAGGGCTATGGCAATTAAAGGATTAGTCTGTGTAAAGCACTTAGCCCAGTAGCAGGAGCACATTTTAATTAAATTTTAGCTGTGTTGATAATGAAGTAGTCGTGATAATGATGATATGTGGGTGTGTGTGGTCTTTGAAATTTTTCAATTTTAAAAAGGAATCCTCAGAGATGTCTGTTTCTGGTCAAATATCAACCTAGATGACTTAAAAGTCCTTCTGCTAGAAAACACCTAGAATTTTGGACAACATTGGACGAATATCTCTTAGGCACATTTCAGAGCTCACAAAAAGTAAGGTAAATGCTAGGGGCCAAAATTGAAAACTGAAATAGTGATCTGAAAACCAGAACGGTAAGCTCAAAAGTGGGAGCTGCAGTGGGTTGCTGGGCATACTGCTAAGGAAGCCGAGATGTTTACCGGCCGTCCAGGGGTAGGAGATGAGGCTTGGGCACCTGACAGATGGGCTTGGCACTGAGACCCTCACATAAAGCTAGAACCTATAAGACTGCATCCTAGGAAAGGGTATGTTAGAAAAAAAATAAAAAAGAAAAAACTGTCTGTTTATACAGAGAGTTTACTTAATTTGGGTCCTGAGAAGTGCATGGGAGAAAATCTCTCTCCTTAATTGATTTATAATCTTGGGTCTGTTCTCCAGGAGGTTTGCTGTTTGAATTTATACTACTTGGATTACTCCAGAACCTCCCTAAGCTTGTGATTCTTTAGTGGAGATATATATTGTGAATGGTTAAATACAATCAAATTGTGTTTATTCCAGGAAATGCAAGGATGACTTGACACAGGAGGATCTATAATGCAATATTAACATTAACAGATTAAAGGAGAGAAATATGACCACATCACTAGGTGAAGAGGTGCAGCTTCATTTGACAAAATTCCACAGCCATCCTTTTGAAAAAGGACTCTTTTTGGCAGTTAGGAATAGAAGAAGGCTTCCCTATCCTATACAAAGTGTCATCCACAGACTCAGTGAATGTCATGCCTAGAGTAAAACATTAAAGGCAGTCCCTTTAATTTAACAATAATCAAAACCGATGTAACCACATTATGATATCTGTCATTCTTCTGTTCAACATGTCCTAGAAATTTTAGATGAATAAAAGATAAAACAGAAAAAAATATAAAGACTATAAGGGAAGTATAATTTTGTCTTTATGCACATATACATGCAAGACATTGCAGTATATTTAGTAGTAGCAATCTAAATGTCCTTCATCAGATGAGGGAATAAATTATGGCATACTCTTCACGGTAACACCAGTTCATTGTAGCTATAGGAATGAATGGCTAGAGTGGCCTTGAATTAGAGTCAGCTTGGTATCATTGTGGATCCCTCTATAGTAACCTTTGAATTATAAGGGGAAAGCCTGGAACTATATTCCCAGCATCTCATTTCCATGTGTTTTAGGTTATTGGTCTTTCAATGAGGGGCATTTGCATGAATTTGTAAGCAAAAGAGGAGAGAAAGAGGG